TATATATATATATTTATATCTGACATTATTTCCTAATATCACAGCATTATATATCTCTAAAATTCTTGGAGATTGTCGAGTTCCTTTTATTTAATGCTTGTAATAAAACGTATTTGACTTAAAATCGTGATGCAATTCCATTTCCACGACTATCCGAGTGGCTCGATAGCGAATCTTTTCTTTTAACAATTGCATTCACACTTCTTATCGATGAGATATCGTCATGAGATAATGACGATATTATGGAATCTAATTGAGCTTGCAATGCAACCTCCATCGAATGTCTTTGATTATTTTCAATCACCATACCGTCAGCTGCAAAATAGTACCTATAAAAATGAATAAATTGATATTGTCAATATATTCTGTATTTTATCTATTTATTTAAGATTAAATTTGTTATGTACCTGGGATATTCTATCGCAGCAGAAACATTTAACGCACGTACGATAAGATTGTAGAGAATTTGACCGTTAAGAAAAACATCGTTTGAACCCAACACTCCACGTAATCCGCATAACTTTTCATTATGATGAAAAATAATAGGGATAAACATGGACAAGTCATCGTTATCAATATTGTCTAAGAAAAAGGGAAATCCATCCATTTTGTTTCCATGACCGAAAGGTGAACTTAGACCACTATATCATTTATATTACGTTAATGTAATGACATTATCTAATAGATGTGTAAGTATAATTGATTCTTGTTACTAACGTTAAAATGCTAACATAAGTGTCTTGCCAATCCATTGCCATAACTCCGGTATATGTTTCTCTTTTTTCTTCTAAAATTATGATTATGAAATCAATAGAAAATTATGTACAGATCTGATAAAAGTTAACAACAGGATTATGTGGATTTACACGTAAAATATAATAATCAACGTCTATATGTAGGCAATGTAAATACTATGCAAATTATGTTTCATGTGATCTGTAAATCCATATCCTTTGTCATTGCATTGTATTGCATTAAAATTTCTATCGCTTTCATATATTTTTTATTTATCAATATTAAAATTAAATCAAATATACTAACTTCACTATCAAATATACTAACTTAAAAATTTAATTATTTTTTTAAAACTTAATTTCTTTTTTCTATATTATAGTATCAATTTATAATAATGTAGTAGTATTCAATTGTAAAAATGTAGTATTCAATTTATAATAATTTACATATTTTATACTGCTTATTTACTTGAAAAAATTGTAAATTTAACAATATATATAAATATATATAAATATTCCATGTAAACATAAGCTTGAAATATACAGCATAACTCGTTTTAAGAAAAATGATATGTGTCTTACCATATTGCAAAGATTGAGAAGATTGCAAAGATACGCTCATCAACGTTTGAGCAACGAGAGCTTGAGATTCTATAGTAGACGCATTTTCTGCCAAAATTGAAAGATTTTCCAGTGCTTTGATCACCTCTTGCATAAAAGATGCGTGAACAGGATAATAAATTGTATGACGATGCAATATCGAGCTTTCTGCCATCGTTACAGTGGGTTCATAATCTGCCAACTGTTGCAGCAGTTTGTCATTAAGAGTAGTATTTTGTAGAATTTCATAATTTTCAGTACTGTTGTATAATGCTAGAAGAAAATGCTAAATATTAATAATTTAATCATATAGTTCGACAAAACAAGACTGTATAGAAGTTTATCAACAACTAACAAAATTGCAAACACAACAAAACAGATTATACCTTGTGCACCATAATGTGCTACAATGTCCAACATCTTTGTAAGTTCCTGCAATTGCAATCTATCACCTGGATTTAAAGGGCCAGTGGAAAATATTTCATAATCTGTTTTCGACACTTCATCTGCAAGATCCTTAGATATAACAAATCCTTCTCGAGCTAGCTCGATGGTAGGTTCTATGACATTGCGCCATGGCAAATTGCCATATGCTCTTTGAGCAAACTCTAATCCTTTTAATACAGCTGGTAAACGTATTCCAACTTCAGCAAAGAAACCTATTGCATTATGTAATATATGACTTTCTTATTATTTTATATACATATTAAATCAATGAATAAAATTATATTTACCTGTAGTTGTATTACTGGCAAAATCAATGACAATTGGATGAGTGTAATTCTTGTAATTATATATTATTATATATCCACCTCTAGAAACAAAATTAAGATTAAAAAGAAGGATAATCAAAATTAGTTAGTTAATGTCTTACCCGCCAAAACCAGTTTTATGAGGTGCTACTACAGCCATGCAAATAGTAGCTGCTACTGCAGCGTCAACTGCATTGCCTAATCTTGTTAATATCTTTGTACCAATTTGAGAACAATTGGAATAATCTGTGGCGACTGCTCCATGAATGCTATGAAGACTACTCTAAAACAAGACAAGAGTTCAAATATTAAAATATTTTACTACTGCTTATTGTCTTTTTTTATTTTTAATATTCACCTGTGGTATACTTTTTGTATATAGAATTTGTAACATCAGCATAGTAGTAATGGCAAAAGTCAATGCGATAAAGCAGACAACAATTACTTTCAACCCATTGCCGCAGAGTCTATATTTATAACTTCTCTCCTTTGTCAAAGGACATTCTTCTGTAAGACCTACAAATACACATTAAACTAGTATTCGTCTCACACACACACACACACACACACACACACACACACACACACACACACACACACACACACACACACACACACATGAGAAGTTTAAAATGTTATTCTAAAAATTATTTAATTTAGGATGACAATTAAATACTAATTAAATTAGCAATATTTACATTATTTTATTTAAATGGATAGAATAACTTTTTATTTGATACATGAAATAAATTAAGAATCACAAATCATAACTGGAAGATTAAAATTGATAACCACAAATCTTAAAGTTAAAAATTTTTTAACTTTAATAATTATATCGGTTGATTGAATCATTGATCATGTAATGCAAACGTAAAGAATGAAAAATATTTAGGCCAATGCAAAACAGATGACATTTACACTTACGTGTACTATAACTCATTTTCCACCGTTTGTTGCTTCGTAATAACCTTATATGATAATACAATAATTAATTTTTCTTAGTAAAAATATATTGAAAAAAATTGCGTCAATAATAAAAATTAATACAAACGCATACAGAACAAACTAAAAAGAATGCTGATGGGGAAAGAAAACTAGGTCTTCTGTCCTTTTTTCGAAAGTTTGATATATTCTACCGCCACCTACGTAAATACGAGGAACTAAATAATAACATGACGACGTAGAGTGGGATTTACAAAAGTTTATTATCACAAGACGTAAATCATATGCGAAACTTTACATGGCTGATGAAGATTCCTAGTCAATTCTGACTTTAAGAATGTCTTAAATAATATTTTAAGATGCTACTGGATAATATTCATAATCCGTTCTTATTTCAAGACTGTCTTAAGCAATGCTTAAGATGCCAATATAATCTTCCGATTAGTTTGTGATATCTTAAGAGTATACTTAAGACGATCTTAAAGATAAGAATCAACTATAAATATTGATCCTTGATATCAATTCATGACATCTTAAGACTGCATGTAAGACTGTTTTAAGTATAAAATTCAATAAATATCAGCTTGAGAACGTTTCCTTGAACTTTTCTTTACGAATTCATATTAAAAATACATCCTAGAAAATCGGTAGAATCATCCTCCCAACAATTAATATATTTTTCTTTACATGTTACATGCGAGGTACTAAAATTACACCTAGTCAATTCTGTTAAATTAGATGCGTTTGGTTTTATGTTGTAATAATTCTCTAGAAACTCCAAAACAGATGATTTATTTTGTAAACTATTAAATAACACTCGATCTTTCTTTGGCAAGATTTTTTCCAACATAAATACCAGATGATGATGGAAACATTGAAATTCAGTTGACATAGTCGATGTAATGTTCAACCAATCTTGAACGCAAACGAGTGGAGTGACAGGATATCCCGAAAATAACGCCGGATTAGTTAAAATACCCCTAGCAGACATCACTCCCTCACATCTGGATTCTTTGAATAAAAATTCTGCATTTTCTAAGCTTTTCACATCACCATTTGCTATGAGGGGTAACTGTATACAATCTCTAAGAAGTTTAAGATTATCCAAATCGATTGGTTCATTACGCATTTCAGGCGTTCTTGCATGAATTGTTAAGAACGAGGCACCAGCCTTTTCCAAAGTTTGACACAATGTTATCGTCTTACGTATATCTTTCAACAGTCGTATCTTTGCAGAAACAGTGAATGGTTTTGGAATATGATTTCTAACTTGATACACCAAATCCTTAATGAGTTCTGGTTTTTTTAATAAATTAGCCCCATAACCTTCTTGCATGGCCCAACGCTGTGGACAGCCACAGTTTAGGTCTACACCATTGCAATATCTGTTAATTAGAAGAATACAAAAATATGCAAGAACCATACCATCAAAATCACAGATATATATAAACTAATTCATAATAAACTTACGGTGCAACCATCACTGAAGCACCAACAAAATCGTTTACAGTCTTAGCTGCAAATTGAACAATCAGTGGCTCATCTCCTTCGTGCGTGGTAAATTCATTATCCCTAGCTTTTGAAGATTGCACAAATGAGTCTGCTAAAATCATGGGTGTAAAGCATATGTCACATCCATATCGTCTCACAAGTGTTCTGAACTGTAGTCTAATAAAAAGCAAGAAGTCAATACACACAAGTGTATCTTAGAAGTTTTAGAATATTGTTTTCTACTTACTTGCTGTATCTGACCATCGGAGCACATATTTTTATCATTCTTGGCTCTTTTAATGTTACCATTACATCGGTTGTCATAATGATAATATTTTCAGTAACCACTTAGATTAATAAATAACAGATTTATGCAATTAAATGTAAGGACAAGAGCACAGTAAAAGTTAAAAGAATATCTCAGTCACCACAAATTGTGACAAAAATACATTTAATCGATGTGTTTTTCAGTAAAATAAAGATTTGACAAGAAAAAAGCGTCGCTCTGCACTGTGAACTGAGATATATTATATTAATCATTAAAATTAAAGTTTGATTATTCAGGTTAGGAAATCAGTCCAACAAATATACAACCAACAAATATAGTGATACACCATGCCAACTTTTTTCTTGTTATCTTGTTATCAAAATCGCTACATTACCACCAGTATAAATTTTTAATTTGAGAACTACGTGACTATATATTTTCTAATACTATCGATAAAATCGTATAGTCGAAAGTAAATGTGGTTCGTCTCTGTACTAAATCCTTAGAACAGAAACGTGCTATCCATAGAAGGAATAATTTAATCAGAAAGGATAGTTTAATGGATCCTTCAACGAAAAAATTTTAATTTCCTAACATATGTAAAATAATTGTTGAATTTTAATAAACGAAATTAAAAATTCAAATAAATTGAAAATTCAAACAAGTTAATTTAATGAATTTTATCTTATAAAATTACGAAGTTATGTTTCTTTATGCAAATTTTCAGTCTTGTTGATGAGAAAATTCACTAAATTAATATTTGGAGCCGAAATGGGCGTCGAATGCTATTCTAATCTGATTTTGTTAAAAGGTCGGAAATCTATACAGGAGTCTGAAAGAAAAAAAAGAACTTGATTCTGTTATTATCGAAAATGCCCGATTGCTTGTGTTGAAAATTGCAAAACCCGCAGCGAATGAGGTTCAAGTTTTGAATAACCGCGCGTCATGGAGCCAAAATGGCGGCAGTTCGCGATACTTTGTTAATCTAGTGACTGATACCGTTGGTGGCGCTGCCATTGGCTACTATGCCGCATATTGCCATTATTGTCGCATATTGTTCATGTCGCCATCGGCGGTTAAACTTTGCCAGTAATTGTCAGTAATCGTTGTATTTCGGTTGAACGTCGCATTATTTGGCTTTAATTTCCTCAAAGAAATTACAAAAAAAGGTTGCGAATAACTTGGATTTTCATTACATTCCGAAATCATACATTTTACAATTTAAATATGAGTAATATTTTCGGTCTCGAAGACGGTAAGTACCGAGATAATAGAATTAAATTAAAGTTATAGAATGCAAATCTTGTTGATTTTCTCATGTAGGAGAAATACAGCTTTGAAATCGGGCCTGTTTGCGTCGCTTGTACTTTTTATTTAGAATTTTCTATTTTCATTTTCTATTTTCAACACTTGAACATATATATTTATTTTGTTTAAATACAGAAGTTTTGGAGGATTTCAGACAATGCAAACAAATTTTCTATAATTTCTGTTCTTTACTTTCCATCTTACGATATTCTCGATATATCTATCTTAAATTACTTTTAAATTACTTTTATTTAAAACACAGTATTTGCAATACAAGTGTATTTTTTATTCTAATGGAGCACATGATAGTATTTAAAATCTAAAGATTGGTCTTTGTATTTTATAATAGTATGATTGATTGTCAATCTCTAGTATTTGAAATATAAAATACAAAATACTTTTACATGCTTCCACAAAATATCAAATATTCTTATGTGTGCTGTTGAAATACAAACTACAAAATACAATTGTCTTATAAATACTCTTTTTTAAGTAAAAGTATTTCAAATATATGTCTAGTTCTGACAAGTACAAAAAAAATAATACAGGAATCTAGAGCTTATTCTACAATACTTTTTATTTCTTGCTTTTTACTGTTTTTTACATCTTATCTTTTTGCTTCTTATCTAGTTTTTTATTTTATGTCACTTAAGATAAAAGTTAACAAACTTTGAAAGAAACAAAAAATACAATTGTGGATAAAATGATTGAAAGAAAAAAAAACAAAAGGTAAAAAGCAAGAAACAGGAAATAAAGAGAGGAAACATTATAGAATAGGCTTAAGACACCAATTAGCAGAATGGTCAGCAGATTACATAGAGTACATTCAGTATTAGAGTCTGACCAAAACCACATTTGGACCTTCAACCAAAATCAAATATTTAGTTTTGGTTTTGGTTTTGGTTTGGTTTTGAAGGTCCAAATGTGATTTCGGTCAGACTTTAGTCAGACTTTAGTCTCATTCAATTTTTATCGAAAACAAAATCGAAACCAGAACTTAGATAAATTTTATAATGAGAGAGAGAGAGAGAGAGAGAGAGAGAGAGAAAGAAGCTAACGGAGTCACATTTTTAGATAATTTTAGATAATTTAATTTTACAAAGCTCATACAATTTTCAGAAATTATGATAAATTTATGTAGTCTTTAAAAAACAAGATTGTATTAAAATATCTAATTATAATAATATAATAATATTGTATCCTCAACTTTTAAAGAAATTAAATTACAGTTATTATTAAGATCATATTAAAGTTTATATTCAAATTGTGTTATGTTTAATCAATGAGTTAATAATTAAAATCAAACAGTTGTTTTTTCAACGCTTACTGACGCGTTGCAAATACAGTTTTGATTTACCCACCGAAATTTTCTTTTAATTTTGACCGAAAGCAAAACTCTAATCGTGTATCAAAACTGATCGAAACTGAAATTTCGATTGGATCTCTAATTATGACTTCTCACTGAGCACTCAGTGAAGTTTTGTATCTATTTGGTTTATATTTCTAGATCTAACGGAATATGTCGATCACATGCAAAAAAAAGAAACACTGAAATACTTTTTTTTTGCTTACACAATTTATTATTAAAAAGAAAAATATATAAAAAGCTTTTTTATCTATTCTAGATCAATATGATGAGGAAGATAAAGAAGAAATTTCGTCAAAACTTTGGCAAGAAGCCTGCTGGATCCTCATCAACGCATATTTTGATGAGAAAGGACTTGTACGACAACAACTGGATAGTTTCGATGAATTTATTGAAATGTCCGTTCAGCGTATTGTGGAGGATTCACCACAGATTGAACTACAGGCGGAAGCGCAACACACCACAGGCGAGATAGAAAAGCCTGTGAAACATTTGTTGAAATTTGAGCAGATTTACTTGTCGAAGCCAACTCATTGGGAAAAAGATGGTGCACCATCTCCTATGATGCCCAATGAAGCTAGATTGAGAAATTTAACATATTCCGCGCCATTGTACGTGGATATCACTAAGACGATCGAAAAGGATGGTGAAGATCCAGTTGAGACGCAACATCAAAAAACATTTATAGGCAAAATTCCGATTATGTTGAGATCAAAGTATTGTTTACTCGCCGGCTTATCTGATCGTGACTTGACGGAATTGAACGAATGCCCGTTGGATCCCGGCGGATATTTTATTATTAATGGTTCGGAGAAAGTCCTTATAGCTCAAGAAAAAATGGCGACGAACACTGTCTACGTATTCAGCATGAAAGACGGTAAGTATGCTTATAAGGCGGAAATACGCTCATGCTTGGAACACAGCTCCCGTCCAACTTCAACTCTATGGATCAATATGATGGCCAAGAGCGGTGCCAGTATTAAAAAGTCTGCTATAGGCCAACGTATCATTGCCATTATTCCTTACATTAAACAGGAAATCCCCATAATGGTGGTTTTTCGAGCACTCGGATTTGTGGCCGATCGCGATATCCTCGAACATATTATTTACGATTTCGACGACCCTGAGATGATGGAAATGGTGAAGCCATCCTTGGATGAAGCTTTCGTCATACAAGAACAGAATGTCGCTTTGAATTTTATCGGTACTAGAGGCGCCAAGCCAGGAGTAACAAAGGAGAAGCGAATTAAATATGCCCGAGAAATCTTACAAAAGGAAATGCTGCCTCACGTTGGCATAAGTGATTTCTGTGAAACTAAGAAGGCATATTTCCTCGGCTATATGGTCCATAGATTATTATCGGCATCTCTAGGACGAAGGGAATTGGACGACCGCGATCATTACGGTAATAAGAGATTGGACTTGGCTGGGCCTCTGTTAGCATTTTTGTTCCGAGGTTTGTTTAAGAACCTAATGAAGGAGGTACGTCTGTACGCACAGAAGTTCATAGATCGAGGGAAGGACTTTAATCTCGAGCTGGCCATCAAGACAAAAATTATAACGGATGGTCTAAGGTACTCGCTTGCTACTGGTAACTGGGGCGATCAGAAGAAGGCGCATCAAGCAAGAGCAGGTGTGTCACAAGTATTGAATAGGTTGACTTTTGCGTCAACACTGTCGCATCTAAGACGAGTGAATTCGCCTATTGGAAGAGATGGTAAACTTGCCAAACCACGTCAATTGCACAACACCTTATGGGGTATGCTCTGCCCCGCGGAGACTCCTGAGGGTGCTGCTGTAGGACTAGTGAAAAATCTAGCCCTGATGGCATATATAAGCGTTGGATCGCAGCCATCTCCTATTCTGGAATTCTTGGAGGAATGGTCCATGGAGAATCTGGAAGAGATAGCACCGAGCGCAATCGCCGATGCTACAAAGATATTCGTGAACGGATGTTGGGTCGGCATCCATCGAGATCCGGATCAATTGATGGCCACTTTACGTAAATTGAGAAGACAGATGGATATTATTGTGTCGGAAGTATCGATGGTTCGCGATATTAGAGACCGTGAGATAAGGATATACACGGATGCTGGCAGGATCAGCAGACCTTTGCTCATAGTGGAAGGTCAAAATTTACTACTGCAGACAAGACATATTAACATGTTGAAGGAAAGAGATTACAACAATGACGGGTAAGCGCTCGATCTGCTTTTGAATCGTCGTAAGAAAATTTATAAAGCAAGGTGTCTGTTTAATTATTTATAAGAAATCTGATATGCAGAGCGGGAGCTTTTAAAGCGAGTGAGATAGCCGAATATTTTTTCTGTAAATATGATATACATTGCAGACACAACTTGTGCAATTAAAATCATAATTAGAAAAAAATACAAAATATAAATGTAAAATCAAAATATTACAATATATACTGAGTACAATGTATCTTAAAAAAATTATTCAAGTTATTAAAAATTCTGTCTCAAGTATTGAT